CACTGAACGTCCTCTTTGAATCACAGGGCCACCATCGGGAGGTTTGGTGTCTGGCCATCAGCCCAAACGGTGACCACCTCGTGTCGTCATCTCACGACAAGTCCCTGCGTCTCTGGGAGAGGACGAGGGAGCCCATCATCCTGGAGGAAGAAAGGGAGATGGTGAGGTGGAGGACAGGGCCCACATAGATGATGTTACAGTGGTTGACATGAACACCTAAACACCGCCTCCTTTTTGTGTTGATAGGAGCGAGAGGCAGAGTTTGAGGAGAGCTTGGCTAAAGGAGATGCACCTGTGGTGAGTGCTTAGTCTGCAGCTTCTACACCTAGTTGCTGTTATGTTGGATGAGTGATGCATTTATACGTTCTGCTTCTCAGGTACCGGGAGAAACACAAGGAGAGGCAGCACCTGCTGGCAAGAAGACTGTGGAGACAGTCAAAGCTGTGAGTTCTCTTCAGTAATTAGCTGAGTTATTATCTGCACTCAAAAAGTATTTATGGCCAAAATGAAAACTTTAAGTAATCTGATTACATGTAAATTTTCTATGTAATTGTATTCCATAAGTAGGATTGTAAAGTGTTCAATTTAATGGACTTTGGTCAAATGAAATTTACTTGATTGGTACACATTCAGTTTTTATCAAGCATATTTTCTTTAATAATTAATTAATTGAATAAATCCTTGATGATTTTCTATATTTCAGTTGCCTTTTACTAAGAATTATTCTTCATATTTATGAGGGTCAAAAATCAGAAGCCTTCTTTGTTGATCTTTTTCCTGTTTTTTTTTTTTCTTTTTCAGGCAGAGCGAATCATGGAGGCTCTGGAGCTTTATAAAGGGGAAACAAGGAAGATGGAAGAGCACAGATATGCCTGTGAGAGCGCAGGCAAAGAGGTTGAGTCATGATTTCAGTTATTCTACTTTTGCTGTGGGGTAGTGCAGTAAAAAGGCTTTTTTTTGTTTTATCAATGCTCAGCTGATTCTGAGCAGAAATAATTTTTCTAGCAGCTGCAAATGCACTGATGTGAGGAAGAGGTCAAACACCATTACTTTAGTTTTCAAGTTCTTCCCTTCAAGGTCGTCTTCCTGTGCACTTCTGGACCACCCTGAGTGGTGATGCTGTTTTTGGAAGGCTACACTGGAAGTCCTGCTCTGTCCACTTACAATAGGGCATTTGAAAAATTACCACGGAAACTACCCTACTTGCTAAATTTAGCTCTGTGCGCTTACCAGAGTGTAGTTTAAATTGATGAGTCACATAGTTGTGAC